GCATCGTAACTGAACCTACAAAAATACATAGGATCTCAAGAGACCACTAGAAACAATTATATGCCGACAAATTAGAAAGCCCTAAATGGGGAAGTGCATGCAATCTCCAGCCGACCAACACTGAGCTGGAGGAAATAGAAAGTCTGAACAGACCGGAAATGAGTACAGGGCTTGACTCGGTAACTGACAGCCTCCCAGCACAGATGGCTTCACTGGTGGATTCTACCAAACACTTAAAGAGGAATTAGTGCAAACACTTCTCAGACTCTGCCAAACATCGAAGAGGAGGGAACACTTCCAAACTCATTCTGTGAGTCCAGTATTAGGTGCCAAAGCCAGATAAAGACTTGATACATTTACATTGCAGTATGATTACCATTGTGGCATTAGCTAACACCTCAGTCCTGTCCCATAATTACCATTTTTTCTAGTGGTGAGGCAATTAAGATCGAGTCTCTTAGGAAGTTCAATACTTATAATACAGTTTTGTTGTCTGTAGTCATATACTGTATATTAGATCTCCAGGACTTATTTATTTACTAGTTGCAAGTATACACCCTTGAACAACATCCCTCCCATCCCCCTACCTCTCCGTCAATACATTGCATACCTTAAACATATATGATGTAATGCGTCAATTCTATCTCAATATAAAAAGCAGAAAATAGCAGTGGTTGGCGAGGATATGGAGAAACGGGAGCCCATGTGCACTGACGGTGGACATGCAGGACAGTGTGGCCGCTGTGACAAACAGAGGTGGCTCCCCCAAAAAGGTAGAAATAAAATTACCCCATGATCCAGCAATCTCACTGATGGGCGTATACCCAAAGGCATTGAAGGCCAGGACTCAGGCCTGTATTCTCACGCCCGTGTAGCCTTATTCGCACATTCTGAATATGCTACGGCATGAGCGAGCCATGAGTACGGTATGCTAAGTAAAGTCAGTCACAAGAAGACAAGTACTGTGTGATTTCGCTAAAATCTGTAACACCCAGAGAAGTCAGAATCAGAGAGACAAAGTAAAGCAGTGGTTTCCAGGGGCCAGGGATGGAGGGAATTGGGGAGCTGTTCCTTTGATGGCTGTAGGGTTTGTTTTGTGAGGTGAAGAGGGTTCTGGAAATGGTTGCACAGCAGTGTGAATGCGCTCAACACACTGAGCTGTGCATTCAAAACTGGTTTCGATGGTAAATTTTATGTTACGTTTATTTTACCACGATTAAAAATTTAAGTAAAAGTTTTAAAGAAATTAGTTAAATAGAAATTTTAAAAAACAATAGAAAAGATCAATAAAACTAAAAAATGGACAAATCTTTAGCCAAACTCATTAAGAAAAAAGAGAACCCAAAGAAATAAAATCATAAGCGAAAGAAGTTATCACCGACACCACAGAAATACAAAGAATCATTGAAGAAAACTGTGCATGATTATATGCCAACAAATTCAATAATCTAGAAGAAAGGGATAAATTTATAGAAGTATATAACATTCCAGACCGAACCAGGAAGAAATACAAAATCTAAACAGACCAATTACTAACAATGAAATCGAAGCAGTAATCAAAAAACTCCCAATAAGTAGAAGTCTAGGACCAGATGGTTTCATAGGTGAACTCTACCAAACATTCAAAGAATGAGTACCTATCCTTCTTAAACTATTTCAGAAAATTGAAGAGGGAGGAATGCTTCTAAATTCATTCTAAGAAGCCAGCCAGCATTACCCTGACACCAAAACCAAAGACATTACAAAAAAAAAAAAAGTACAGGACAATATTCTTGATGAATAAATTTGCAAAAAATCTCAACAAAATATTAGCAAACCAGATTCAACAGTACATTAAACAGATCATATACCACAACCAGCTGAGATTTATTCCAGGGGTACAAATATGGTTCAACACCCATAAATCCATCAGTATGATACATCACATCATCGACATAAAGGGAAACCCATATGACCATCTCGGTAGATGTAGAAAAAGCATTTGACAAAGTTCAACATCTTTTTATGATAAAAACTTTCAACAAAGTGGGTATAGAAGGAACATATCTCAGTAAGGCTCTATATGACAGATTTACAGCTAATATCATAGTCCATAGGGAAAAGCTGAAAGCCCAGTATCACTACTTCTGTTCAACATAGTATTGGAAGCCCTAGCCACAGCAGTCAGACAAGACAATGAAATGAAAGGCATTCAGATCAGAAGGGACGAACTAAAGCTATTCTTTGCAAATGGCATGATACTGTATATAGAAAATAGTAAGAATCCACCAAAAAACTTAGAGCAAATAAATGAGCTCAGTAAATTTCAGGATACAGAATCAATATACAGAAACCTATTGTGTTTTTATACACCAACAACGAACGATCAGAAGGAGAAATTAAGAAAACAGTTCCGTTTACAATTGCATCAAAAAGCATAAAATACCGAGGGATAAATTTAACCAAAGAGGTGAAAGACCTGTACTCTGAAAACTATAAGACACAGAAGAAAGAAACTGAAGAAAATACAAATAAATGCAAGAATACGCCTTGCTCATGGATTGGAAGGATTAATACTGTTAAAATCCTTACTACCTAAAGCAATGTATAGATTCAGTGCAATCCCTATTACAATACCAATGGCATTCTCAGAGTTAAAACTAGTCCTAGTATTTATTGGGAACCACAAAAGACCCCGAATAGCCAAAAAAGCTTGAGAAAGAACAAGGTGGGAGGTGTCATGCTCCCTGATATCAGACTGTACTACAAAGCTGCACTAATCAAAACATAATGGCATCGGCATAAAAACAGGTATACAGATCAACGGAGTAGAAATAAATTCTTGCTTATATGGTCAGTTAATCTATGGCAGAGGAGGCAAGGATCTACATTGGGGTAAAGACAGTCTCTTCAATAAGTGGTGTTGGGTAAACTGGACAGATGCATGCAAAAGAATGAAACGAGACCACTTTCTTACACCTTATACAAAAATAAACTTAAAATGGATTAAAGACTTAAATGTAAGACCTGAAACCTTAAAGGTCCTAGAAGAAAATACATATGCAGTAAACTCTGACATCTTTCTTTTTGGCTATGTCCTTGGGCAAGGAAAACAAAAGAAAAACAAGATTCTTTCAAAAAAGTTTTTGCATGGTGAAGGAAAGCATCAACAAAACAAAAAGACAGCCTACTCAATGGGAGGAAATGTTTGCCAATGATACATCCAGTAAGGGATTAATAGCCAAAATGCGTAAGGAACTCAAGCAAGAACTCACCGAAAAGAAAAAATGGGAAGAGGATCTGAATAGACATTTCTCTAAAGAGGTCGTACAGGTGACCAACAGACATGAGAAGATACACGACGTCACTAACCAGCAGGGAAATGAAAGTAAAGCCACAATGAGAAGTCACCTCACACCTGTCAGCATGGCCAGCATCAGTAAACCAACGAGTAACGAGTGCTGGCGGGGATGGAGAGAAAAGGGAGCCCTGTGCACTGTTGGTGGGGTTGTGAATTAGTGCAGCCACCAGGGAAAACAGTGTATAAGGTCCTCAAAAACCAAAACTAGAGCTGCCATATGATCCAGCAATTTCAATTCTGGGTGTTTATCTGAAGAAAACAAACTAATTCAAAGAGGCATTTGCACCCCTGTGTTCATTGCACCCATGCGTTCATTACTAGTAATAGGATATAGAATCACCCTAAGTGTCCATCAGTAGATGAACAGATAAAGAAGATGTGGTACCTATATATAGTGGAATATTACTCAGCAATAAAGAAGAATGAAATCTTGCCATCTGCAACAATACGGATGGACCTAGAGGGCCTTATGCTTAGTGAAATAAGTCAAAGACAGACAGATACTTTATGGTTTCACTTATATGTGGAATCTAAACAAAACGAGTGAATCAATAGAACAAAACAGAAATAGACCCATAGATATAGAGAGCAAATTGATGGTTGCCAAAGGGGAGGGGAGTAAACAAATAAAAATAAAAACTTAAGCTGTTTCTAACAGTATTCCTCACTTCAGCATTCAGATGCAGAGTAGGGGGAAAACATGTGGAAACACCTCCGTAACCGAACGCTAAGCGTGAGTTCCGGACTGCGGTCAGGCCCTCTGCGGCCAAACATGAGCCTTCACTCCTGGCCCAGGAAACACGAGACCTGTTCTGAATCTCACAGGAAAACGTACCTTTTCCTGTTCTGAATCTCACAGGAAAACGTACCTTTTTCGTTGCTTGCAGAGAATTTTAAAAGGTGACGCTCTCTCATCGCCTCGGTTTTAGTTCCTGTAGACAAACAATAAAAAACTGAATTGCCAGCTTGTTGAGGTGAATTACTCCAATTGTGGATTTTACCTTGAAAGCCCAAACTTATCAGATACCGTTTAAAAACACGGAACAGACATTTTCCTTTCAACCTTATTGATTCCATTTGTGTTTCTGAATAAAGAACTTTTTTTTTTTATACTATAAAACCTTGTACATAAAGCAGGAAAGCAGTATGTTAATCTGCTCTAGCCAAGTCATTTCTATTCAAAAAGTATTATTTTCTCAGTGTACAGTACCGTGCCAGACGCTGGAGGAGTGATATTTTTGTAAGAACTGAGCTGTTTTGGGCAACAAGCCCACCTTCACGACAGCAGTAAACATATCACCTGGCGGAATGATTCGGCATCTGGGTGGCACAGGTGACACTGAATCGAGACGCAGGGTGAGGGCACCGACAGAGGATGTCATCGCAGTCACCTTTGTGTCCCCGGGGGTCAGGGTGTTCAATCAGTCTAAATAGTGGACCACTCACTGTAAAACAAATATGGAGCAGGAGACATTTAGAAACCAAGCTGAAAGAGGCACGCGGCGAGGGCCGGGACCGAGGCCGGGGTGTGAGAAGGCGGGTTTGGACCCGGAGGGGTTCGGAGAGGCAGGTGTGAGGCGGGCTCGGAACCGCCCCCCTCGGGGTTCAGTCTGGAAGGAACTTAACGCTCTTTCCGTTGCTTCTGTTTATTTTGCCTCAGACCTGAGTCTGGGAGGTGTCCTTTTATTCCCTATTGACGATAAAGAATCAAGAAACGAAGGGCAAGATTTGGTAAGTAAAAAAAAAAGCAAAACCACCTCTTACTGGAGCTAAAATTCGGCTCCCGTCACCCCATCCCCCACCCCCCAAGCTGCTCCTGCCCCCACTGGCCCCTCGGGTGGTCCGTGAGTGGCTCGGGCTGCCACGAAGTGCCACAGGCCGGGCGGCTTACTTTCTCGCGGTTCTGGAGGTGGCTCGCAGATGGTCGCCGCCACGCTGTCCTCACGTGCTCCTTCCTGCGTGCCAGCGCGTCCCCAGCATCTGTGTCCACCTCTCTTCTTCCTGTGAGGACACCGGTCAGACCGGATCAGCCCCACCCGAAAGGCCCCATTTGGCCTGGTCTCCCGACGCGGTCACGTGCCCAAGCCCTGAGGGGTAGGGCTTCACCGTGCATTTCGGGGGGCGCCATTGGGGGGCCTGACCTCCAGCAGCACTCGCCCGTCCCCCGCGCCCCCATTCATCGCTATCCTCGTTCCTTTCTCTGACCCAGATCGCAGGCCCCTCCTGAGTGCAGGGAGTTGAACTTTGTATTTTTGTCTTCAGTGCCTCACTGGCTCATAGGACGTGCTCAAGAAACGTTTACTGAATGAATAAGAAAACGTGACCGAAAACTGAGGGTTTCGTCATTTGTTCTTTAAGAGATTGTTTTCTAGCCAGCCGCAAGCAGACCTTTCCACATTTCCTCTGCCTGTGTTAAAATTCTTCTTTTGCATCCTGAGCGTCTTCCCCCTTGCCTGTCACTTGGGGTTCCTGTAAGATGTTTTATTGACTACAGTCCCTAGGCCTGAAGTCACATGCAGATTTTGAGCCAAACCTTATTCACTCAGGAGACATTTAGAAACCAAGCTGAAAGAGGCACGTTTTCTTGAGGTCAGTGGCCTTCGTGCCTCAGAACAAAGAGGCGTCTGCTTGTTCAGTCATTCACTTAGTCACTTTTAAAATCCTGAAAAATGAGGATGACACGGTGATTGTGCGTAAGAAGCTCAAAATCTAGTCACCCAAGCAAACGTGACGGCGAGTGGAACGCCGTGATTGCACTGTGACTGCAGTGGTGTCAGGCCCGGATGCTGCCGTGACACTCTGTCCAGCTCTGCCCCACGTAGGGAGGACAGGGCGGGAGACTGGGCACCTGAGCGGAGGTCGAATGACTGCCCATCCCGGGGGCTGTGGAGCTGACTTGAGTGTCGGCTGGCGGGCTGGGTGGGCTATGAGAACCTCTGAAAGCCTTTCCAAGATTCCGAAAAAGTCCTTCACCCTTGAGAGCGTTTGGAAAGGACAGCATGTCCCACTCTGGTTTTAATGTGTCTTTAAAAGAGAAAGGAAAGTAGATAGAAAGTTACCATGAAACAAAACGGTGACGATGGGGCGGGAAGTCACCGGTCTGTCAGGACGAGGCTGTTCAGGCAGAGCGTTCGGAAGAGGCGTGACTGAAGCCTGGGTGACCCACGAAGGGCTGTGCCTGTCGGGGCGCGGCTCACACCCCCTCCGAGGCCCGGTCACGCAGTCGACGGCATTGCCATCCCATGCCGTGTTGACCATTACTGACGGTTTCTCCTAGTTGGCCTTGATCGTGGCTCAGCACCGTGACCGCGCCAACGTCCTGTCTGGCATTAAGATGGCAGCCCTTGAAGAGGGCCTGAAGAAGATATTTTTAGCAGCAAAGAAAAAGAAAGGTAAGCTCTTCCATTCGTGCTCAGGAGTTAGATGGGTTTCCGTTTCCAAGCCTGTGATGTGATCATTAAGGGGAGACGAGACATGTCATGACCCCGGTCAGTCCACGGGGTGAAGGCAAGCCCCAGGATGCGAGGCGGCGGAGGGCAGCGCCGTAAAGCCTGTCCTTTCCCGTCACCCCTGCATGCACGATCTCTCCGCGTCACCTGCATCCTCTGGGCGATGCGCGTCCAGAGGTGCAGTAAAAACGTCCTATGCAGCTGTTCACTGTGCTGTTCACTGTGTCCCGTGTCCCATCACGGAGAGGCACAGCCCACATCAGCTTCTCTGCCAAACACCAGTTTATTGCAGTTTGCAGACCCAGCACGTCTCAGTTTGAACTGATTGGCTCGTTGAATCTTTGCTCATTTTCATTCCGTCTCGGCCATCGATCATACTGTTTCCGTTGTACCTACTTATTTCCAGATACTGTGTGCAACAGCATTATTTTCTTCCCTGTTGCAGTCCCGTCCCAGAATACGTTTGACGTTGTAATGGTGTGCTTTGAGGGGGACACTTGTGATATGTGTGTATATACACACACACACATTGTCCACTGGAAGCCACAGAGTGACTGAGACTAAGGATTTTTTCTCCTGTGTAGATATCATGCCCGTCCATCAGTTTTTATGAATGAAGACATCACGACCTCTTCTTTTCTTTTTATGACAGCGAGTGTCCACCTTCCACGCATCGGCCACGCCACGAGAGGCTTTAACTGGTACGGAACTGAGCGACTTATTCGGAAACACTTGGCCGCAAGAGGCATCCCAACCTACATGTATCCTTCTGTCCCCCTCGCCAGTGTCACCATTTAACCTAAGGCTGAGTCCTTTCCACCATGTTTCCACTTTCCCTCTTTATCGAGAGGAAATCCGAGAAGCGCTTTCTACCTCGTGGAGACAAATCCATCCAAGCGCTTCCGGTGCCAGCAGCTAGATCGAAAGACACGTGAGGGGGACTCGGCTGAGTGATCGCCATTTGCTAACGCAGTAGATCTGTTCCGTGTCACTAATGCAGAGGTCCTCAGGCCCGCGGGCCGAGGACTAATTCGCTAGTTCACTTCACTCTGTTCACTAAAATAAACGGTTAAACAAGTGAACAAACAAGGGAACTATTTTATTGCTAAACCTATTCAATACATTCGTAAGGAGCAGCGTGAAATTCTGTTGACCGTTAGGACGTAACCTCAGTTGCGTGAACTAGTGTTTTCTTCCAGTGACCTCTTTGCTGTATAAGTTGGCACTGTTTGACCTATCACACCAAGTCCAAAATCAGTAGGAGAAGCTGAATTGACCCCCCGTGCTATAATCAGATGAAAACTCTTTTTTATTTAGCTGCTACTGAAATTAATTTACTCACTGGTGGTTTTCAAAGTATTTAAATCATGACAGAAACTCAGCAGAGAAGTGTCGTGGACGCTTGCACAGTAGCCGTATTGACTTGTGGCACTTCGGCCAGCAGCAGTAGTGAGTACGCACAGCGTCAGAGGCAGTGAGGCAGCCTGGTCCTGGCAAGGCCATTTCAGCCACTACTAAACGAGACAGCTAGACTAGCGGGCTGAGTACAGGTGACTTTAAGGTGGCGCAGTGTTACCTTCCTTGACCACCCGTGTCAGATATTACTTCCCTAGGAACAAGGCTGCCACCCTTCCGTCCCAGCCCTCACCGGCCCAGCGTCACACCCGGCCCTCAGCAGCCAGCTAAGAAGATACTTGCTCAGAGCGACTGTACTCGAGTCTTCCAAAAAGGAATCGGGGTCGGGTGGGCCTCCGAGGCACTCTTTCTCCAGATTCCGATTTCGTTCTCCTGGATGTTGTCGCTCTGGTTTGGTACCTGGAGCACAGGTGCCCATCTTACTCAGGAAGGCCCGGCGACAGCTTGCCAGGCTGTTTGAGTCGTAATAAACTTTGTTTCCAATGTTTTCATTGCTTGCTTTTCCCCCAGTCGCGTTTTCTTCCCCCCGTCAGATGGAGTTTGTCACAGAGGGAAAAGCCGTGTTTATTGAGGAGAAAGGAAACAGGACAGGGGCCCCTGGAGAAGGAGGCTCCTCCAGCCGGTTCATGCCGTGGGAAGACGCAGCTCGAGGGGCAGAGGCCGAGGCCTGGGCTCCCTGATCCACCCAAGCGGAGGGCCCCTCCTTCTGTGACCTGGAAGAGTACACGTCGGCCGAGGGGCCTGTCAGATGTGGCTTCAGAGAAGCCAGGGTCTCCTCTCCCCTTCCCACCAAATTCACTTCAGCGTCAAGAAAAAGGGAAATCATGGAAATGGCACATCAGGGACACAGTGTCAGATGGGGAGGCCAGGGGGCCAAGACCACCAGAGAAGGCGTCCTGGGCGGGGGTGGGGGGACACCATAGAAGCTGGGGCTTTCCAAACTTTGTACGTGACGTCTCGGTCTCCACGGAGCCCGCTCAGCCTGCCCGACCTCGGCCCTGAGGCCCCGGACGCCCAGCGCACCGCGGGGCCTGGCCAGTGGGACACGCGGGCCGGGACCTAATGCAGGCAGTGCCTTCGGCCTGGGTCGCACTGCTCCCGGCACTGACTCTCCCTGGCAACTTCTGCGCTTTAGCATCTGTGTGGAAGACCTGTTAGACCCTAAATTCGTGATTCCTGCATATTTTCCTCCTAAAACTTGTTTTACTGCCTCCTATCCACCACCCTTAACACCAGCCCTTCACACGTGTAAGAACTCAAATCCTCTTGACTGGCATCTTTGGTCTCTCCTACAGCTAAAAGCAGAATTGAACTCCAAAGAGGGAGGATGTAGTGAACCCTGACCTCAGCTAAGATGCCGCGCCTTCAAGAGCAGACCGAGTCCAAGTAGGTGGGGGACGAGCAGCTGTGAAGACAACGTGATTGTCCAGAAGCCACACTTGCTCCTGAGGGTGGAGCATCCAGGCATCCGAGAGAGAGGGATCAGAGCAGGAAACACTCCCCAATGAGCACAGCTCATTTGGTACCTGGAGAGACCCTCCTTTATCTCTCTACTCTGTCCCCGTGCTCCGGCCACATGGACTTTTTCTCTGGACAGAGGCCCTGGGCCATCAACCTCTGACTCCTGGTAAGCTGGGCAAAGCGCCGCAGAGGAGACCAGAAAACTCAGCACATTCGCCTGTCAGTGTGGGGTCGCCTGTCACTGGCAACGTCCTGCTTCCCGTGTCTGCCTCTGAGCTCTTCAGTCACAGACACCGCCCTGCTGTATTTCCCTGAGTCGTTCCTGTCTTGTATGTCCCGTCACTGTTCCCGCCAACGGGCATCATTCTCTAGGAAGGAAGAACCAAAGAAGACACCTACTCCGTTTATCCCAAGGGTTTTGTTCTGTTTCCTTCACAGCAAGTCTTTGAGGCCATCTCGCCCTCCCCTCTGAGGGGACCAGGACAGAGTTGACAGTGCAAGATTTTATTCATTAATGAGCCTTCATAGAGAAGTTTGTGCCCTAAACACCAATATCAAAACCCCGCTTATTGAGATCGTGAGGAACTTGAATCTATTGAAATTTTTCTGTAGGTACAATCTATATTTTTCGATTTTTAATAAACTTTACCTTGTAACATGCCTATGATTTGTTTAATTTTTTTGCCCCATCAATCTGAACTACATTCTGTTAAGTTAATTAACTCTTCAGATAATGCTAGAATCAGCCATTTTTGAGCCTCAATCCATTTCTAGGCCAATGTGTTTTCTGTGTTTTCCTGTCTACTAACTGAAATATAAACTCTAGCATTAGTTACCATCCACCACGATCTACCTTATTTCCCAAAAACATCCTGTAGTTTCTCACTTGGGCCTTTGCTTCTGCTGGTGACGGTGTCTGCACTGTCCCCTAAACCTCTTCCCTACCCCCTTGTTGTCCGCTCTCAAATCTGGTCTTAAGAATCCAGAAAACTAATCTCTGTGCTTGAACTACTGACGATCGTCGGGTTTGTGGCACATAATTTGTTATACCTCGTGTTATACCCGTTGGCATACTTCCTTATCCCTTGCCTAAATACTGAGGTCTTTGAGAAAGATGATTTCTCATTTATTTTTCATATCACACAAAGCAGTAAGTAATCAGATATTGAAATGGTATGAAAATCACCGGCTAGCAATTTGGGAAAAGCGTTAGACTTCCTGCATATATCATTAACTCCAGATGGCCTAAGTACTTAAATATAAAACATGAGAATACAGAAAGAAACTTCATTTTTATGGTGTCTGACTAGCAACTGCCCTTGGAAGCTTCTCCCAGCTTCTCACTAAAATGCCAGTGGAATTAAGGTGAAAACAACTGGGAACAGACAAGCAACCAACCAAATGCCAGACTATGAGAGGAAATGATACTAGGTATAAGGCAAAGTCGAACCGAGATTTCATTTTAGGAAGCAAAACTTGCCTAAAAACCTTGGAGCCTTCAGCAGCCAGAAAATGAGCAGTCACCCTCTGTACTTTCCTTCCCCACGTTAGCAAAAAGGTCGTTCCCCACCCACAATCTCTGCTATGGCTCTGTTTCCTCTAGCCTTCTCTATGGTGTTGTTCTACCAATTACTCCTCTTGTATTTTGAATTTCTATGTACTAACGAAATATCGGGAAGATAAATGAAGGAAAACAATCCCATTTACCATTGCAACAGAATAAATTACCTAGGATTAAACTTAAACAAGGAAGTGAAAGACCTGTACACTGAAAACTACAAAACATTGTTGAAAGAAATTAAAGACACAAAGAAATGGAAAGATATTCTGTGCTCATGGATTGGAAGAATTAACATTGTTAAAATAGTCATGTTATCTAAAGCAATACACAGATTAATGCAACCTATAAAAATTCCAATGGCATATTTCACAGAAATAGGACAAAAAATACTCAAATTTGTATGGAACCACAAAAGATCCCAAATAGCCAAAAGCAATTCTGAGAAAAAAGAATAAAGCCAGAGGTACCACACTCTTGGACTTCAAACTATACTACAAAGCTATAATAATCAAAACAGTAGGGGTATTGGCAGAAAAACAGATATGCAGACCAATGGAACAGCACTGAGAGCCCAGATATGAACCTACACATATGGACAACTAATTTTCAACAAAGGAGCAAAGAATATACAAAGGGGAAAGGAAATTCTCTTAAACAAATGGTATAAGAAAAACTGGACAGCCACATGCAAAAGAATGAAAGCAGACGAATATACCATACACGAAAATTAACTCAAAATGGATTAAAGACTTGAATGTAAGATCTGAAACAATAAAATACATAGAAGAAAACATAGACACTAAACTTATGGATCTTGGTCTCAGATGTATTTGTAAACTTGACCCTACAAGCAAGAAAACAAAAGCAAAAATAAATGAATGGGACTATGTCAAACGAAAAAGCTGCTGCCCAGCAAAAGAAACCATCAGCAATAAAGGCAACTAACAGATTTGCAAACAATACCTCTAATAAGGGGCTAATATCCAAAATATAAAAATAATCTACACCACAAAAACCCCAATCTGATTAGAAAATGGAGAAGACCTGATTAGACACTTTTCCAAGGAAGACATACAGATGGCCAACAGATATATGAAAAGATGCCCAACTTCACTAGCTGTAAAGGAAATGCAAACCAAAACTATAATGAGATACAACAACACCTCTTAGAATGGCTGTTCTCAAAAAGACAAGTAATAACAAGCGTCGGAGGGCCTGTGGAGGAAAGGGAACCCGTGTGCACTGCTAGTGGGAATGTAAATTGGCACAGCCACTATGGAAAACAGTGTGGAGGTTTCTCAAAAAATTAAGAATAGAATTACCATATGACCCAGTAATTCCTCTGCTGGGAATCCAAATTTGAAAACACTTATTTGTCGAGAGATAGGCACCCTATGTTCATTGCAGTGTTACTTACAATAGCCAAGATATGGAAACAACCTAAGTGTCCTTCAATGGATGATTGGATAAAAAGATGCAGTACATACAGCGG